AGGGTGGAGCCGCGGCGGGCCGCAGTGGTCTTTGAAAATGCAACATTTGGGGGTGAAAACAGGAATGTCTGTCCTCACCTAGGTCTGTGGGGGTGGACCTCTAGCCAGGGACGTGCCTTTCTCTACCCAGCGCTTCCCTGCCCTCCTCCCGTATCACTGATTGTAACACACCTAACTAAAACCTCAAAGCTCATGGAACTAACCTAAATTTATTGGAGACTCAAAAGAGAGGGGTGACTGGAAGCAGGGTGAGGGTTACCTATTGGGTACAATGTATACTGTTTGGGTGAGGAGTCCACTAAAAGCCCAGACCTCACCACTGTACAATTCATCCATGGAACCAAAAACCACTTTTATCCCTAAATCTATTGAAATAAAAAAATCATTTTAATAAAAAATTAACATACCCTTCCCATTTATCTGATTCTCTGAGGTCACCTTTAATTGTCTTTGAGCTATTTTTACAACTCTGTGAGTTGTTGATAACTGACAGCAATAAAAATGATTCTCATCCATAGATACACAAAAAATAAGTAAATTTTCCAAAAGTTTCCATAGGTCATCTTTCTCGTTCTTACTTCAAAGTGTCACTTATTAAATCGCCTTCTCTTGTTCCCATACTCACATAACTTTGAATACAGAAATCATATGTATTCTGATATGTTCAAAGAACAAAAAATTACATACTATTTGCAATAGGATTTTTAAGTACCTAATAAAAAATGTGCTAGACTTTAATAGGGAACATTGTAAAATCTTTATTGAAATACATTAAGAATAACCAAATAGATGTAGAATGTTCATCCAAAATGATGTATAGATTTAATGCAATTCTGATCAAAAACCCATATATATGTTGTGAAACTTAATAAGCTGATGCTCAAATTAACACAGAAAAACAAAGACTAGCCAAGACACTCTTGAGGAAGAATGAGATGAGAGGATTTCCTTGCCAGATATCAAAACCAAGAAAGGATAGACAAAGCCACAATTGAATAAACAGAGAACTCAGAAACAGACTCACTATATATGGAAATTTGACACATAACAAAAATAGCATTGTAGATCAATGGGGGAAAGGATGAGCTCTCCAATAACCAGTGGTGGGATAATTGGATATACATGGGGGGAAATGCTAAATTAATTCCTGCCTCTTACCATACACAAAAACAAACTCCAGGTACATGAAGTCCCTACCATCAAATCATTTAAAAGAATCCTTAAGAAGAAAATATAGGAGAATATCTCATGACCATGGGGTAGAAAAGGATTTCTTAAACAAGACATAAAAAGCACTAACTATAAAAGAAAGTACTGATAAATTTGCTGGCATTAAAATTATCCAAAGAGACATCCTAAAACATAGTGAAAAGAAGAAGAGATATTTGTAACACATATAAGGAACAAAAGGCATACCTAGAACCTATAAAGAATGGCTAATATGATTTTTGGCATTTTTTGCTTTTTTTTTTAAATTTAATATAGAGACAGGGTCTCACTCTGTCACCCAGGCTGGAACACACTAGTGTTATCACAGCTCACTGCAGCCTCAATCTCTTGGGCTCAATCAATCCTCCCACCTCAGCCTACTAGGTAGCAAGGACTACAGGCATGCAACACTATACCTAATTTTTTAATTTTTTGTAGAGACAGGGTTCTCACTGTGTTACCCAGTTACTCAAACTCCTGGGCTTAAGTGATCCTGCCACTTCGACCTCTCAAAGTGCTGGATTATAGGCATGAGCCACAAAGCCTAGCCAAGAGCAGCTGTTATGAAGAAGGCAAGCAACTAAATAGAAAAATGGGCAAAATACTTGAACTGGCAATTTAGAAAAGAGGAGGTCCAAATGGTGGATAAAAATAAAAAGCAGGTCATTGGTCATTAGGGAGATGCATTAAAACTGCAATGAGATACTACACAACTACAAGATATACAAAAATTTATAAGTCTGATAAAACCAATTATTAGCAAAGATGAGAAACAGTGGAAACTTCTATACACTGCTAGTAGGAGTAGCAAAAGGAGACACGTTTGGGAAATAATTTAATATGTCTAATAAAGTTGACTGTGCACATATATATCCTACAATCCGGCAATTCTACACCTAAGAATATACCCTAGGGAAACCCTTGCCCATGGTCCCCAGGAGATATGTACAAGAATATTCATAGTAACACTGCTTCTGACAACCCAAAACTGGAAACAGTCCACATGTCCATCAGCAGTAGAATGAATAAATAGTTGTGAAGCACTACTCATCAAATAAAACGAATGAGCCACAATTGCACAGAACATGGAGATGTCTCTCAAACATAATTTTAACAGAAGAAACAATCACCAAAATAAATATATAGTAGCTTTCTATTTTATATAAAGTCCAAAAAATAGACAAAACTAAATAATGTATTGTTTAGGGATGTGCACGGAGGTTGTGCTGTTATTTATTGCTGCCATAACAAACCATACAAAAACTTAGTGGCTTAAAACAACCATGATTCTTTTTGCTCACAATTCTGTGGGCCAGGGATTTGCACAGAACACACCAAGGATCACTCATCTCTGCTCCATGATGTCTGGAGCTTCAGCTGGGTTGCCTCAAATATCAGGTCTGGTTGGAACAGCCTGACTGGGGCCATAAGTATGGGACCTTGATTCTGGCTCTCAGCTAGGTTCCTCAAATCTCCTCCATGAGGCCTTTCCACCTGGCTAGCTTGAGCTTCCGCATAGCATGGTGGTCTCAGGGTTGCAAGAAGAAATATTCCCCAAAAATCTTATCCCAATGTGCAAGCACTTATTAAATCTCTCTGCCATGCTTGATGTCCCATTGGTCAAAGCAAGCCATATGGACAAACTCAGAAGTCACTGTGAGAGCAGACTACACTAGGGCAGAATAGAGGGAGCCATGGTTCATTTAAAGGGCCACCAAAGTAATGGTCCACCACAGCTGAAAGAAAATAATATTCTCAAAAATAGTGGTTACCCTTCAAGATGAAAGGGGGATGCGATCATGTAGGAGTACAAAGGGAGCTTTCTAAAATATTGGCAATGTTCTATTTCTAAACTGACTGGCAGTTAACATAGGGTATATTTTATTCTTCTTTAAAATGTCAATTCCGCTTGACTCAATATTATGCAGGCATTACAGTTTTCATTTGTATACTTGCAAATAATTTACAATTTAATGTTTTCATTATAAGATAATAAACAGGGAAATATATATGTATATTACAAAGATCCCAACTATTTATTAGAACTATTGGAAAGAGAGCTAGAAGCAAATAAACCTCCACACCTCCATGAGTGGTTGTGTGAGAGCGGTAGTAGAACTATGATTAATATAAATTTTATTTTTATATTTTTCTATGCTTTCCAAATTTTCCATAATAAACACATACCACTTTTAGAGTCACTAAAACTTTATGGGGGTAAAAACAAGAATCACATCTCCCATAAAATGTTGTCTAGGTTATGTGAAGAAGCACGGATTCCCAGGAGGGATTCTAGTAACCTCTGCACTTCTCCTGACTCGCTTCACTTTACCATTCCAGTTCTTTTCATTGTGGCTACCAGTTAATTTCTGGAGCACAGGGTATCCCAGATTTTTCAGAATAGAGTCTGATAAAAATTAAATCAGAACCACTTGAATTGGTTCTTGGGCATGAATAGTATTGCCAAGCCCTCGATTTGGTGCTTAAATGGGAACTGTCAGTCAGAAACGAAAGGGGCAAAAAGGGACAAAGAGTGATGAATTGAGGTGTCTTTCAGCCTCTCTATTTTGAATCACAAGATACTGAGAATTTGGCAGAGTGGAGTTTTTCTGCAGGTGATCTACAAATGTTCCGTCTTCTCTGATCTAAAATCATAATTGGAGGAAGTTAACTCTAAGACCTGCAGGAAGTTACAGAGGAGGAGGGGAAAGCAACCAACACCTAATAAATTAAGAACTTGGACTCTGCTGTCCAACTTACTCACTGTAGGACCTTGTACAAGTTCCTCCACCTTTCTAGGCCTCAGTTTCCTCATTTCTAAACTGGGGACTTAATAGTGCTACCCTTAGGGCTGCTATGAGGAGGGAATGAAATAGTAAATGCAAAGTGCTTAGCACAGAGTCCAGAACATCAAAAGCACTCAATAAATTATAGCATCTCCCATTGCCAGGACAGGTGAGGCACCCACACAGGTCACAGCAGATGCCTAGGTATGGGCCGGCACTCTGCTGAGAGCTTCACATACAGTCAGCATTTTATATCGCATCTGACCCTCATGGTACCTAGGGATTAGATATTATTTTCCCCATTTTACAGATGAAAAAACAAACAGAAGATCTGAGCATCTATAACCCGCCCAAGGCCGCGGATCTCCTGAATAGCAGGGCAGTAGTTGAAGCTAAAGCTGTTTCCAAGGCTTCTCAGAATCTAGTGGACAGGAGAGGAGTGCTATACTCTTTGAGAAAACACTCCCACTTTTTTGTTCACAGTACCCACCACTGAAAGTAAAACTCCACTGAAAGTAAAACTCTGAAATGTTTTGGGCTGATGTGAATACATGTAAGTAACAAGCACTGTGGAATCAAAAGACTGAAAACCACTCCCAATGTCTGCAAATTACAATGACCAAGGTGGCCGGGCCTAAAGACTGAACTTCAGTGTGGAGGGGTCTTTAAAAACTCGAGGATCTGTTCCCAGACCTACTTACACGGAGCAAAACGCTTCCTGGGTCTTCTCAGAATCTTGTAAATGTTTCCATTGACTGTGGACCTGATATTCCTTTTCATATCATGGGATGCAGTGAGGAAAGGAGCACAGAGGGCAGAGAGAGGCAAAATTGCTCCCCTTCACCAAGGCTTATGGGGAAAAAGAAAATGAACTTGCCTTTCCCGAGGAGTCCCACCTCCTCGCAGGCTAGGAGCTATTCCATTCTTTGGAAGGATTTTATAAGAAACAAGTCTTCCTGGGATAAGGTTGGCTACAGAGAAATAAAACAATGTGCACAGACCTACCTTTTTCTTTCTTTTCCTCTTCTGTGTTCAGTGTGACTTCGCTGGCAATACTGAACTGGAGAGTAAGAGTGTATGCTGCTTTGCGACGTTTGAAATTTTTGTTAAGACTGCAAGCTGGCTCACGTCCTTTCTCCTGGTCTTCTGTAGCGCCCCGGTGTGCTCCTGGGAGCTGAAGCCAGAGAAGGTTAAACTGCCTCACTCTCTAGGACCTAAATGACTTCTCCCACCCTCTGCCATCAATCAACCCCCTGAGAGCAGAAATTGGAGAGGGGCATTTCCCCTAAGACTCACAGAAACCCCGCCTTTAAAAAATTCTCCACAACCAGAGAATGATCCCTCCAAAAAACATCTCTGTTATATCTTTAAGGAATTTCATCTCCCTCAATTCCGTCGCTCAGCCTTAAGCACACCTTCAAATCCTTATGCAAAGGACTCAGGGAATTCAGGTGAGTTCCCCAGAACCATGATTTCCTCCGAGGAGCAGATGTTGCACATTAGAACTAATAGGCTTCAAGTACCCACAACAAGACTAATATCTTCTGCTAATAATGCTGTGAGTGACTTGAGTTTCCAATGAGCTATTATTTGTAGAAAGACATTGACTTTACTCTTGCACTCTTGAAAGTAGTTCACTGATCTGAGTTAATTAAGCCACATAAGCCTCCTGAAAGGCAGAGAGAAGACCCAGGAAGAAAAAGAGGAGGAAGGACAGGAAAGTGTTGACTGAGATGCACCTCCCTGCTGGTCCAATAATATTATAGCAAGTGGACCTCACTACTGCAGCCAGTGAAACGCCAGGGAAATGTACAGATCCTTTGTAATAACAGAAATTGTCATTGACAGTGATTAAAATATTAGAATCATAACCTTAGAGATCATCTGGTACAACGCCTCATTTGAAGACTGAAAAAAGATGGCTGTTTCACTAAGTGAGAAAGGAAGACAGGCCTGCTGACCCTTACGACTCTTTCTGGGCTGCTGGCAATGAGCTAGCTGGGACCTTGGACTGACACTCCTTGCAGTAGAAGTGGCTGCGCTCAAACCAACTTCCCCCAGGACCCGGGGAGCCAAAGACTCCAGGGGCTTCAGGAAGCTCCCTAAAGAGCTGCACCTAAACATAGACCTGGCTTAGCATCTGAATGCAAAATATTTGTTACTCAATAACAAGGCTGGTCCATTAAAAAGGAGAGCAACAGAGGGTGAGGTTCTCTTGCTAGAGCATAGTCCCCAAATGCATCCAGCTGCATCTTGGTCCAAGCATACTTCCCCCATAGGGTGCTGGAGATGAGGGGGTGCCTCTTCTCACCCTTCTCCCAGTGAGTTCCAGCCCCTGCCCCAATGCTTGCTGGTGTTCACCTATAGCCTTTGCATGACACCCACTGACACACTAGCCCTCCAGGCCTTTCCTGTGGTTGTTTTTCACTGAATACATTAGGACTATCTTTCTACATCAGTAACCATTACATAGGAAAACATTGTCTTTTAAAAAATGACGCATAGACATCTAGAAGATAATCGACCAATCCCCACTGACTAGTTGTTTCCAATTTAGGTCCTTTCAATTTTTCACAATTAAAAACAATACAGTTGGCAGTAAACAATGTACAGACATCTTTGCATGTTTTCTAATAATTTCTTCAGTATAAGTTTTTAGAAGTGGAATTGCTAATTCAAAGAATGTGGACTTTTAAAAGGGTTTTGATATGATCTGCCAAGGTTTTTTGTTTTTGTTTTTGTTGTTGTATTGTTTTGTTTTGTTTTTCAGAAAAATGGTATCAGGGTAGGTTCCCACCAAGATTTTTTATATAGATCATTCAAATAGTTTCCTTGTGTTTCATTCACTTTCATTCAAATAGAAAGTAATAGCCTAGTCAAATGCCAAATGGTACATTTCCCAGAAGTATGAATAAGTTGGATAACTTTCCTCACATTGTGACAGTTTTGGAGAAATGAACCCAGGTCATGACTGTCTTTGTATCTCACTGCAGTGAGATAAAGGGGCTTTTTCTTTATAACTCATCTTAATTTTGATGAAGATAGCTATGGATTGTGACAGCTCCTGCATGGTGAAATTATGGATAATGGTTATTCTTTATTTTGCTTATCTGTATTTTCAAATATTTTTTGCAGTGTCCTACTAACACTACTGCAGAGTTTCTCAACCTCAGCACCACTGACATTTTGATCCAGATAATTATTTGCTGTGGAGCTGTCCTCTGCAGCATAGGATATTTATCAGCATCCCTGGTGATATGGTTTGGATCTACATCCCCACCCAAATCTCATGTTGAATTGTAATTCCTAATATTGGGGGAGGGACCTTGTGGGAAGTGATTGGATCATGGGGGTGGATTTCCCCTATGCTGTTCTCATGACAGTGAGTGAGTTCTTACGAGGTCTGATGGTTTAAAAATTGCGCTTTCCCCCGCCCCCTCTCTTTCCTGCCGCCATGTGAAGAAGGTGCTTGCTTTCCCTTCACCTTCCTCCATGATTGTTGGTTTCCTGAGGCCTTCCCAAAAGCAGAAGGCTGTACAGCCCACAGAACCGTGAGCCAATTAAACCTCTTTTCTTTATAAATTACCCAGTCTTGGGTAGTTCTTTATAGCAGTGTGAAAATAGACTAATAACACCTGGCCTCTGCCCACTAGATGCCAGCAGCACCCCTAGTTGCAACAACCAAAAACATCTCTAAATATTTCCAAATGTCTCCTACAGAGTCATAATTACTCCCAGTTGAATGCCACTGAACTAGTGTAATAGACAATACTAAGTAATACAATAATAAGATATTATATAACATTATATGATAGTATGTAGTAATAATAAACACTTAGAGTGCTCTGTGCCAGACAGTATTCCCAGCTTCAGGAATATCATCTTGTTGATTCTCTTCAACAGTTCTTTGAGGTAAGTACTATTATTCAATCCATTTTACCTAAAGGGAAACTGAGGACAGACAGGTTGAGTAACTTGCCCAAGGTCACACAGCTAGATAGTATAGGATCCCAGATTGAAAACAAAGAAACTCCAGAGCCCATGCTCACAATCATTTCCTGCAGCTGTCTTAGAAGTCTTTTTAAATATTCTTTTTAGTCATTTAAATTTTCCAACAAATCTCGTAATATTTGCAAAGACACACAATCATATGGTGAACATCTGTATACTCATCACTTACATTTAATATTAGGTTGGTGCAAAAGTAATTGCGATTTTTGCCATTACTTTCAATGGCAAAAACCACAATTACTTTTGCACCAACCGAATAACTCTCAAGCTTTTTCCATACTCAATTCATTTGTTTCTCTTTATTTCCTCCTGTTTCTTTCTTTCTTTCTTCCTTCCTTCTTTTCTTTCTTTTCTTCTTCACATCTTTCCTTCTGTCTTCTTAGAAGTGGAATCTTTCTTCCTTTCTCTCTCCCTTTCTCCTTCCCTCCTTTCTTCCCTTCTATTGTATCATTTCATCCCTTACATAGGTCATTGTGAAGTTCTAAAAATATTGATGTTTTCTGACATAGCCATCATGCCTATCACCCTAACAAAATTAATGATTCTTTAGTATCAATTTATATTCAAATTTCCTTGATTATCCCAAAATTTTATTTTAAATCTCTATAAAGTCCAGCTTTGGACATTGACTAAGAAGAATGAAGTGGTGATTCCCAGCATATTGTGAATCCTAACGGAAGAAGGACGGAGTCATAGCACATTTTAGAGGAGCTCTACGTGGTCTGGGCTGCAAATGAAAGGAGAACATAGAGTCCCCAACGACCATAAGAACCTTGCTGTTGCTTTTGGGATATGAATCCTAACATGATAAGAAACCCGGTTGATCATTAAAGTCAATTTTAATAACAGCAGGGAACTGGGGCTAACCTTCCGAGCTCCTCAACTCAGCTTTCTCAATGCATATTTATGACTTAATTTGAGAGCTTGTTGATTTACTTCCATTAGCCCATAAAAACCCTGACTCTTTCTTTTTGTTGTCCTTGAAACACAGTGGAAATTTCTCTTGAGTCTGTGGTTAACGACTGGCCTCCAAGGGGGCGAAGACAGCACAGACTGGTCTTATATTATTTGAGGACAGCAGGACAGGGAGTGAGCAGGGTTCTCCGGAGACCAGTGGAAATTACTGCTACCCCTTCGCCCCACACTGCCACCTGCTGGAGTGGGTTGGGCACAACAAGCAGGACTCCCCTAGTGTTAGTTACCTATGGCACCCGTAACAAGCCTAGTGACTTGAAACAATACACATTTATTCTCTTACAGGTGTCGGAAGTCCAACACCTAGATTTTGTGCCCAGTGAAAATGATTTTGGATTTCTGTTTGTTTGCCTTTTCCAGCCTGCATTCCTTGAACTCCTTGGCTCATGGCCACTGCGTCCATCTTCTAAGTCAGCAGTGCAGCTTAGACTTAGCAGCTTAGCAGTGCATCTTGCTTCGGTGGTCACATTGCTTTCTTCTTCTGAGTCAGCTCTCTCTCTGTCTCCCTTTTGTAAGGACCCTAGTGGTTACATTTAGAGCATACTGGGATAATTTTACTATCTCATGGTCCTTTATCATATTTGCAAAGACCGTTTTGCCCTGTAAAGTCACATTCACAGGTTTGGATATAAGGATCTGGATATCTATGGGGACCATTATTCAACCTACCACACTCCTCTTGAGAACAACTCATGCCCAGAGTAACACCACTTATATTTTTAGATCTCAAAGCCCTTTGTAAGTGTTTTCCACTTGCTTATCCCAACAATCCTTTAAGGTAGGCAGGATTTGGGTTCCCCAGAAGCAAGACCCTGAGGCACGGAGTTAAGCGCAGGTAGTTTATTTGGGAGGTGATCCTAGAAAGCACAGGCAGGGTGTGGGGAAGTAAGATAGGGAGGGGAAAGAAAGCAACTCGGGGTAGGAAATCAGTCAGTTACCACTGGGAAACTGGAGCACAAATTCTCCTGGAGATTCTGAGAAACACCAGAGTCGCCTTATTTATCCTAAACATGGGCTGAAGAAGTTGGGGTTTTATCCATCGACTCACCACCCATCCTTGGTCGAGGGCAGCTCCAGAGCCATTCACTCTGGTACAACCAGCTTTCCTTGCCCCCAAGGCCAGTGTTCTCCCTTGGCCAGAAAAAGAGCTCAGGGTGACAGGAGTTTTCAGGAAGCAGCCTAAGTGAG